TTTATGTCCTGGTTGTATGGTAGTCGTACGATCGTTTATCATCCAAGTGACTGAAGGAGCAGGGAATCCAGTGTAGTTACAGTGCAGTACAGCAGCTTTATTTGGGGTTACAATGACGATTTGCTTGTGGTTAATGATCTTGGGTGGAGCTAAGGATCACAAACAAATAACGTCTTTACTGCAATGGGAAGTATACAACAGACTTTCCTACCTAACGGTATAATTGTTAAATTCATAATAACTCACCACAAATGTTAGTAATATTAAATACTGCATTCTTGCCAATCCCTGCGGCTGTCCATGCCCTCAAGTAAACAGTGTAATCTGCGCATCTTTTCATGTCCTTAATCTGCGTGCTGTTAGTACTGTTTGATACTGTCCCGTTCATTACTATTTGGAACTGATTATCATACACGACATAGCGATAACCAAGTAGGACGCCATTAGCTTTTTCGTTGGGTATTAACTCCCATTGAATCTCAAGATCAGAAGAAGAGATGAACTTTGCTGTAAGTCCACTTGCAGCACTTGGGGCTGTAAATATAACATCGAGGCTCATTATTGTAAAACCGGTTACAAAGAATCGGGAGTAACAAGATACGATAGAATATGGCAAAGTAGACTTTTGATAAGAAATGCAATTAGTACTCAAAGAAAGTATAACGTGAAGAGGTGCTAAAAAGGTGCATTTTTTGACTTTTTGACCCCATACTCAAAATCCTAGATCATCCCATAGAATGAGCATACTGTATTAATCGAGGACACTGAAAAAAGTAGCGCAAAGCATTAAAACATTAATTTGTATTCTAATTAAAAGTCGGAAACTTATAATCTGGATCTGGAACAGCAATAGATTACAAACACTATATTCATGCAACATGATTAATTCTTGACTAAATAGTGTTATTCTTATTGTATAATCAAATATATAGATAAATCGTTTCTCAAGAAATTTGCCACGCAGTCGTAAGACTGAATTACGCAAGCATGATAAGTTTAAATAAGAAAAGAAAAATTAAATATAGACATAACGATAGAAGGACTAATTATACATATTAAATCTATAGGCGTAATGGATTATATAATAGAGTGATGGATTAAAAAAGAGTGCTTTAAATCAGTGCTATTTAGTACTAATTAGTGGAACACTGTAACGTGATCTAGTCGATCTTCTGGTTAATATTTCACGCGAAATTAATCCTTGGACGAGAATAATTTGGACGACACCATCAGTCCACTTACATTGTATTCTCAAACGTTTTTGTTAGACAATTACAAAGAAAAGAAAGAAGAGCCAGGAGATTCAGTTAGYGTAGAGACAAAGGCTGACCATTATAATTAAATGGGTAATTGTAGTCTATGCATTGCTTTCTTAAAATGACTGTCGTACCTCCCTCTAGGGTTCTAATCGTTTTCACGTTTTCTATAGTAGCAAGGGTTTGGTCAACGCCTTTACTGTTGTACGCAGCCACTCCTACTAAGTACTCCGTGTATGGATGAAGACCTGTTACATTTGTCTTGGTCAAAGTAACATTCAATAACAGTGTCTTGTGCTTGCTCAAATAGTCACTCATATCTGCTTTCCTTAAATAATACACTCGATATCCCAACAACACGCCATTCTCTTTATC